TCCCATGATCAGCCCCAGAGGCTTAGCTTCTTGCCTTTCCCTGTCTTGGGAGGGAACCTCATAAGTCTTCCACTTTTAGATCAGAATCTGAAATTGTGACATCTCTTAAAAAATTCTGCAGTCCTACCTGGGTTGTTTTTCCACTTTCAGGACTCTGTGACCAAGAGTTCCCTTAAAACAAAAGTATTTTGCTTGTAAGTTGGAACAAGCTAGTAGAGGGAAAGGGTTTTAAAATAAACAGCCTATATGTATATTTAAGTGTTTCTAGTCATTGGTTCCCCCGCAAATTCACATTATTTTGCCTTCCATTCCAGGAACCATACAAAATGAAGTTACATTTTCCTAGTCATCCCACATTGTCTTGAGAGTCTGTGAGACTCTGTGTCACCGACTCTGTTCAAATCAGTTTTGATTCTCTCCACATGTCTCTCAGTGATCCTTTTAAGTATAAGCTGATAGGCAAGCATTAGGCTGCCCACATTTCTAATCCCATCACGCCAATAACCAGCATCCCTGCACAAGGACTAGCCCATAAATATCCCAATATTCCACTAAAAAAGAAACCCCAAATGGAACAATTATACTGCCTTTGTAACTAATGTGGGAATGTTGGGAGATACAGTGTTTAGGATTAATTTAATTTTGGACTATCATCCCATTTTTAATAAAATACTCTTCTCTGTTTTCTAGTTCTTATGTACTTGGGGACATTTGCAAAGTTAACTTTGTACATAATGATCAGTAATAATGCTGGTATTTGAAAGAGTAAGTCATTAAAAATAATACCTTGTCCTGGGGAAAAATTTGGAGCAGTCTTTTCTACTTCTTTGGTTCATTTGTTGCTATGACTAAGGCTGTGCTACACTTGGGAAGGTTTGGCAACAAAAGTGCTGTGCACATGCAAAAGTTGCCAACAGTGAAAATTGGTCAAACTGGTTTTTTTTGCAGGGAAGGTTTGGCAACAAAAGTGCTGTGCACATGCAAAAGTTGCCAACAGTGAAAATTGGTCAAACTGTTTTTTTTTGCATCCCATTGTCAACATTTCATGGCCACGTTGCTAGCACCCTGTCAACATACAGCAAACCAATGTGGTTAACCATCCCACAGTGTAGTGTTGTGGGAAGGCAGAGCTGATCCCTGCACTTCTTGGGATTCCCTCGTAGCTCTGTGAGCTCTAATTTCTGAGACATGTCAAAGCAGCACAGAAGTCTCTCTAGCCCTCCCCCTGTAGCAAGACAGAACAAAAGCATTCCAATGATTTGTTCTTTATTTGTTTCCCAAACAGCGCAGCTCACTCAGCTGTCAGATACTTCCCAGAATTCTGAAAGGGGAGGGAAGTGGCACGTGCCTGCGGCGCAGCAGAGATCACAAAACACTGAGCACAGCCATCAGAACAGGCATTGTGGGATACTGGCAGAAGCCAGTTTCCTTGACAAAACAGATGCAAAGTCCACACTGGCTCTTTGCCAACAGTAAAAGGGGGGGGGGATGAAAGTCTCTTGCAGGCTGGAAGTTTTTTGTCACCAAAAACTGGGTGTTTTCCTAACAAAAGTTGCATTGTAGTGTAAACGCTTTCACTGTTTTGTCCCCAAAAGGTAGTTTTTGGCAACAAAACATGCAGTGTAGAAAAGTCCTAAGGTACTTACGGCCTAAGTGTAAACGCTTTCACTGTTTTGTCCCCGAAAGGTAGTTTTTGGCAACAAAACATGGAGTGTAGAAAAGTCCTAAAGTACTTATGGCCTAAGACCGTGGTGTCCAACATGCTAGCCACTAGCTACATATGGTTATTTGGCTGGTTGTGTGTGGCTAGTTCGCTACAGAAGTGGTTGGAAACTATGGGCCTAAGATATGTTCAACACACATATTTTGTATGTTATAGTTATTTTTGGGTAGGGTATGATTCTTTTTAATTGGAAAGAGTTACACCAGTAAAACCCATAGTTATATATGGACTATCAGTCAGTTTACTGTGTATGCTTAAGGATGGCCCTGAAGGAAAGTATTCAGGATTATTGGAAAAACCTTGATTTGAGAAGCTCATCATGAATTGGATTAAGATCAATATGATCATGAAAAAAAACCCCTCAAAATCTTCAAGAAATACTGGGAAGAAACTCTGAAGCTTTTGAAAAAAGAATTTGGGCAGTTGATCATCATGTTAGTGAAGCTCACTGTCAAGTCTGACACCCCAGCCAAAATATTAGACATCTTCATATCTTGTTTAGCCACTTTGATTTATTGCTAAAATTTGGTAAGTGATAATGGACCTCAATTCTGTTCTAAAGAATTCCAGAGCTTCAAATAAAATTTATCACATATGTTCTACTCCAAATCACCCTGTGACAAATGAACTAGCAGACTGATTCATATTGATACTTAAGCAAGCCTTAAGAGCTAAGGAGTATACTTTGAATAATCAGAAGAAAATGGACAATTTCTTGCTTGCCTGCGGGAATACACCACACCCTACTACTCAGGAGTGAGCTGCAGTTCTTTTCTTGAAGTGGTCTTCATGTTTCTGTTAGGACCTGTTTTATCCTGATTTTGCCTTGTATTGTCAAATGCCAAGTTATGTGAATGACACAACAGGAGATTCATCATTGTTCTTTTCTAAACACTGAGCACCTGGCAGCTCACTGATTTCTTGATTCTGCAGTTTGTCATAAGACTGTAGAAACGTGTGTGTTATACAGCATCTCTTCTATAAAATTTCTAAATTAATAGATATCAGAACCATGGAACTGATAATGTAGTCTGACCTCTTGTATAGCACAGGCCAGAGAAATTCACTCAGAAATCTCTGAATCAACCCCGTAACTTCTGGTTGAGCTACTACATATTTGCAAAAACACATCCAATCTCCATATAAGGATTTCAAGTGCTGAATACATCACATTCCTCTGTGAGCTGTTCTAAAGATTAATTACCCTCGTTGTTAATATGTGCATCACTTTCAAGTTAGAATTTGTCTGGCTGCACCTTAAAGCCACTGGATCCTGTTAAAGCCTTTTTCTGCTAAATTAAAAAGCCCTCATTGGCTACGGCTACACTAAAAGTTTTGCCAAAAGAGGCAATGCAAATGAAGCGCGGATTAGTACTTTCTCATGCTTCATTTGCATATTCTCTGCAAAAACAAGCAGTGTGGACGTTTCCTTTTTGCACAAAAAGGAAACATCCACACTGCTTGTTTTTGCGCAAAAACCCCTTGTGCAAAAACGGATGGGAAGAGAATATGCAAATGAAGCACAAGAAAATGCTAATCCACTCTTCGTTTGCATTGCCTCTTCCAGCAAATCTTGCAGTATAGACAAAGCCTATAAGAAAACTTCTCCTCATAAAGGTGCTTATAGATCACAGTCAACCTAACTCTTAACCATCTCTTCAATAAACTAACAAATTGAGTAAATTCAGACTCACTGTGAGATAGGCTTTTGAGACCTCATATTATTCTTGCGGATCTTTGCTGAATCTTCCCTAATTTTTCAGCATGCTGTTTGAACAGGAGGCAAGAAAAAATGGACAAAATATCCCAGTAAAGGCTTTACTCACGCAGTATACAGAGGTTATACCACATCCCTATTCCTATTTGATATTCCCCTTCTTATACATCCAAGGATCACATTCATCCTCTTAGCCAGGGATGGGGAACCTAAGGCTCGGGGGCCGGATCCGGCCCCCCCAGCTCAGGGCTCTGTCTCCCAGCATGCTGGCACTCCAGCCTCCCTGCCATTTCTCTGCAGGGCTGGAGCACACAAAATCTACTAGCCGGGTTCCCCCCAAGCTCTGTGGTGTGAGGGGAACGCGCAGTGTCTTTCTCCTCAGCTATTTTTTTATTTTTTTTCTTCACACTTGTGTGCAGCCCCCAATTGATTTTTCTTTGGGTCAGCAACCTCTCACCCAAAAAAGGTTCCTCAGCCCTGCTCTTAGCCATCACATTCCACTGAGAGCTCATGTTTTGTTGCTTCCCGGCAGGACACCAGATTCTTTATATAGTCACTGTTTTCCAATATATACCTCTGCTCCCCTCCTGTAAAAAGGGGCCTTCCTAGATTCATAGTTTTGCATTTGGGTGTATTAAAATACACAATGGTTGTTTCTCCGCACTCCTCCCCATCCCACACAATTTACAAATATTGATCTGGATTCCTCTGGATAGCCCTATTATTTACCACATGACCCATCTTTGTATAATCTATATACTTTAATATTACTGATGATTTAGAAGGAAATATTCAAGGATGTTAGTCTGAAAACAGATCCCTCTAGAGTCCCACTAGAAACACTCCTAATCAATAACCATTCCTAATTAACAATTCCGTTTTTATCTATTTTTAGATAAAAAAATATGTGTACCATACTGAAGTTCTGTTGTGCTAATTTCTGTAATCAGATTGTTGTGTGGTGATTAAGATTATTAGAATGGCCGTCCTGGGTCAGACCAAAGGTCCATCTAGCCCAGTATCCTGTCTGCCGACAGTGGCTAATGCCAGATACCCCAGAGAGAGGGATCACAACAGGTAATCGCCATGTGATCCTCCCGTCACCCACTTCCAGAGAAACAGAAACTAGGGACACCATTCCTACCCATCCTGGCTAATAGCCATTGATGGACCTAACCTCCATGAATCTATCTAGCTCTTTTTTGAACATTTAAGACTAAATGTCTTACCGAAGTTTATCATATCAATATAAATTTCATTTATCAGACAGACTTGTGGTATGAACAGAACAAGAATTATAAAAACAGGCGGCTGTTACTGGACGTTTTGCTGCTTATATATCTGACAAAGCAAACCTATATAATTAATTATTTGGAAAAGAGCACGCCATAATCTTTTCAACACTGGTCATATATTATAGACACATTTTGATTTCTGATGATAGACCTAGTTGTATTTATAAATTCTATTGTTTTTCTCCTTGACTGAACCTGCTGCTTCATCAGAATAAGCTTTTTATCAATTAAAAGATATTTAAAATCCCCCAAAAAGAAAGTGATTGCAAGTAATACTCTATACATTAAATAAAAATGAATGTTGATATTACTGTCAGCTGCCCGTGTGCTCACTGGGCATGCTCACTTGCAATTGCTCTGTCGCTCTCTCCTGAGTCTTTTGCTGTCCCCTCAGTTTTTTCCTCCATGCCTCTCTTTGCAGGGAGAAGAGGGTGAGTGGAGAAAGGAGAAGCAACGCTTGTTCTGCTGCAAACATCCTTTTCTGGAGTACACCAGGCTGTGTGTGGCTGACTGCACGTTACGCTGGGATTAATTTAGCTGTTCTGTTTTCTGGGCTTTTACAGCTTGTGAAAGATGGAAGGGCTGACACATTCTGGAGAGCAGGTTTCCTTTCTTCTTTTCCTTTAACATCACGCAGCCTCCTTATTGTTTAAAGGCATTATTGTTTGGACTTGATCGGCTTCTTCTACGCAAGAGGTAAATAGAAATTTCTTCCCCTCTTTTCCTTATGGTATGTACTGGTGTGTTGCGCGATAATGCAGACATCCCTCCCAGCTGGTCTACAGATTCCGGTTATTCAAGTGACAACCTCCTGCCTCTGTTATTAGTGTTCACTGCACAGGCAGGAAACCTGGTGGCTGTCATTTGTTCAGAACAGGCAGAGATTCACTGGGACCCATCTCAAAGTGACTTCAGTTGATCCAGTTTCATAAATATAGGCCAAAATGGGTAAGAGCACAGCCCAAGGTACATCAAGCCTAGGACTGGCAGTGCTGTTTTATGTATCATTAGAGAACAGCTCTAAACTCATTTGCTCTGTGTGTGTGTGTCCAAGATACTGAAATCTCTCTAGTCGTCATTCAGCAGCTCACAGGAGCCGTGTGGTTTGTATTTACTCCCCCTCTCTGCCCTCTCCATTTTAGCTTTGTGGTGAACAGGGAGATCAAAGCCCTTCTTTCATTTCTCTCCCAGGCTTTAGAATTCACTAACATGCTCTTCAAAGAAATACAGATAATTCCAGGATATCACAAGGGAAGGAAGAATTCCTCCTAAGACAGGTGTGAAGAATAAGCACAGGTGGAGAAAGCTATAGATAATCTCACAGTAGGGCCAAGTTTCAGTCAATGTAACATTTTTAATTGGCAGACTGCAAAAGTTCCCAAACAGTCAGTAAGATCATATAGTTTTACTTTAAAATGTTTCAGTTTACATGCAGCCACGCATGCAGTGTTTCTGTCCCTAGCAAGAATACTATGAATATAAAAGATTAATCTAGGCTGAGGCATTCAAAATAAGAAGTTCTATGAATTTCAGGAAAAAGGATGCTTTGAAGCAGTGGTTGGGGAATCTTTTTTGGGCCGGAGGCCACTAACCCACAGAAAAATCAGTCAGGGGCCACACACAAGTGAGAAGCAAAAACACCACCACCAACAAAAAAACACTTCACCGATGTGGCCTCCAACTGAGGAGAAAGCAGTCCCCACATTTCCCCTTGCACACCAGAGCCTATGGGGGCCCAGCCTACTAGATTTTGTGTGCTCCAGCTCTGTGGTGGTGCAGAATCTGGCCCCCGGGCCTGAGATTTCCCACTCCTGATTTTTTTTTAACATAAGAGACAATCATCCAGCTTTCTTTGTAGGAGGGAAAGCATTTAGAATATCTGACAAAAATGTCCATAGTGCTGCTACTGACATAGTGTAGAGTACATCTGTTCTCAGAATCAACTTTCCCCAACAGATTTTTATTAAGTTATGAATACTTTTTGAATCCATCTCAGTTTGATTAAATAAGTGCCCACTTGTCACCAACGTATAAGTAAAATTCCATTTTATTACTACTATTTTAGAAACTTGAATTATTATTTTAGTCTAGTTGTACATCTGCCTGATTTTCCTCTACAAAATGCAGACTGGATAAAATCCCAAACTTTATATTAAAAATTATGGATATAAACAGTCACTTAATTTCAATTAAATTGTTATGCAATAATTTTATAAAGAGGCCATAAAGCCAAAAATTACATATTAAAATTCAGTGTTTGTAATATGTTATAGAAATAGTTAGCTATATAAAATGTGTTTTAATGCTCAGGATCTATTTCTTCAGAGAGTATTTATCAGGTGGCTTTCTTTTGTTTGTTGGCTGGATCATTTAATGTAAAGCTTAAAAAAGAAAGTCATCAGTTCTTAAAAAGGGCAAAATTAGATGCTATATGTGATTAAAAAAATGATATAATGTTTAATATGAAACATCACTGTAGCAAATATTTTATTAAGCTCATAACGTAAAAATTAGAGACAAACAAGTTAATTATTTTTTAAAAGAAATCTAGTATGTGAAAGTCATTCCTTTTTAATTCCTATAATTAAACAAAACTGTCTAGCATTATGCCTTTATGTTTGTTTTCTTTCACTGGACAATATTTTTGTTGTTCCTGCTCAGAAAATGTTTTCAATAAAAATATCAGAGAGAGGCTCTTTATTAAACTATTGTGCCATTCACATTATTTCACTCTTCAGACACAATCTTTCATTTGCCCCTGCTGACAGTTTCATTTTCTGCAGAAAAGACTGGATGCAAGAATATGTAGGGGAGTTACCAACTTTAGAAAACAGAACTTTTTTTATTCAGACTCTTATAATCTTAGACTGGCACTGTCCTAGTGCAATCCCTTTGAAATATTTTAAAACTCTATTTCGGATATAATATGCAACATGCGTAAGATCTGTGGTAAGTGTAAAGCCTGATAGACTGAGTTGGAGATCAGCTGGCTGTGTGGCCATGCAAGCATGCCTACACAAAGGAGATGCCCTCTGGAACTGCCCATGCTGGGCTAGCGTGGAAGAGAAGTTTTGGGACAAGCTGTAAATGGTCTATGGGAGTCAGGAAAGAGGCTGGATCCACTTTTACATTGATACAGTGGTTCCAGTCCCTTGTGTCACTAAGATGGAGGGGCGGGCCTGATGGGGTGTTAATATAACCCTGTCTGTAGCATCTCTGTTTACACCGATTCTGTTCTGGATGTCCTCAGTTTAGAATTAGGATGATATTTGTCTGCTGGCAAACTCAGACTGGGTTCTACGTTCCCATTGGCTCACCATTGCGATTCTGCCATCAGTGGAACCCACGCAGCTCCACTGCTTGGAGGAATGGCATGGGGACCGCAGGGCCCCCTTAGAACTTTCACTACCATCTGGTGTCGGGCTTTTCTGCAGCTTGTACAGTAGGCCTGTGCCACACAGTTATGCTACTGTGCACCTCTAACAGATGGCTATCAGTTTCAACTGTAAAAGGCACTAAAAGCACAATTCAGAGAATTGAAGCTGTTCTCTATCGGAAGACTACAAATTCTGTATTAGTTCCTTTTGTCTGGGTACTCCCACTTGGTCACATTCCTTTTACTGGGCAGATAGCACATACCCATCAGCCTGCCCTATCTCAAGGTGTGTACTGTAGTCCATTCTCCAGGAGCCAGCCCTCCTCTTTCTTGTCTGATAGCAAGCCCCATGCTGCCTGTCCAGGAGCAGGACCCCATTCTACTGGAAGCCCAAACTTGTGATGGCTTCTTTGATCAGGACGTGTCACTGTCAGTGCCAGTGTACAGGCCTGATACCTCAGACAGGCTCTGCAGGCTGAACATGTCTTCCCAGGCCAGTGAAGGCATGTAAGCCCTTCAGACAAAGATGGGTAACACAGACTATGCCTACATCGCCAGGGGCTTGGGGTTTGTTTTTTTTTAAATATACACAAATTGCAAACCGCAATTTGCATATCTTTTTCCGCTTGTTTTTTTCGGAAGAGGCTTTTCCAACATTTGGCCAGTCTACATGGGGCCAAATGTCAGAAAAACCTCCTTTTTCAGAACATCCCTTATTCCTCAGGAATACTGGGATGCCGAAAGAGCGTGCCCGCTTTTTCAGAAAGTGTTCCAAAAAAGTGGACACATTCTCTGGACGTGGCAGAGTTTTTCTGGGATCCCTTTGGGGTTCTGGAAAAACTCTGAAGTCTAGACATAGCCACAGTGTCACACTCCTCCACCTTTAGAGGGTATGTTGGTGCACCCTGTGTAGAAACCCCTTTCCCAGCAATTCTAGAATCACAGGTTTAGGCCAGAAGAGAGCATTGTGGTGGTATATGCGGACATTCTGGCCTCAGAGCACCACCCATGGTTCTTGCATCCAACATAGTTGACTTTGGTTGAGGTTGAGTAGAGATGTCAAACGTGGGCTAAATCTAGCCCCACACCCTCTGCCTTCATCTGGCCTACAGCACCCTCTGCATGCAGAGGACCTGGGTCCAATGCCACATTAGTGGTCCTTCTCTCTCAGGCTGAGAGGGAGGTCACTTTGATGTGTTGCATCAGGAAAGAAGCCAAAGCTAATCAGTACTCCCTCGCCCAAGACTCTTACCTAAGGCAGACAGTAGCCACAGTCTAGGGCTGGACAGAGCAATAAGAAGTCTTTAGCCTAAGCCTTCTTGCAAAGGCAGTATAATGGAGTCAGCACACACGTCTCACTAGCACCCCCATTTTGACCAGTACATATCTGCAATCACTCAATTTTTTAGTCAGGCGTGAGCCTGATTTTCTTCCAGATCTTACAATGGAGTGGTACCTGCTTCTTACAAGCACCCCATAGCTGATGGTAGTTCTGTGGGTCTTCTGCAACTAACCCCCTGGCGGAGGGCATACAGTCTCTAGTTCTTTCTCTCACACTGGTTCAGGGCCATAGCACCAAGGCTTCCTTCCCAGAGGCACTGCCTTCCCTAACAGCCCAGCAGGGGTCCATCTTGGTCCCCTCAGTTGGTGTTCTTTCTACAGTCCTCCCTGGGCTCAGTCTTCAGCCAGAACAGGATTCATCAAGGCACCCTGGCCTGGTTGCATCTGGCTATGTTCTGGGCTCAGATTGTCCATGGTCCTGCTGCTCTTCCAACCAGCTAGGCTCCCTCTTCTTCCTGTTCAAGTTCCAAGTGGCAACTGACTGCTCAGCCTCTGCTGCTTCCTTGTAGATGGCCATTCTGGCCCCTGATTGGTTGCTCTAGCAGTCTCTCCGATTGGCAGCTTCAGTGCCGCCACTCTAGGCCACCTAAAGGACTTTTCCTCTGCTCTTTTTTAGGGCAGAGTGAGGCAGGGCTGAAAGGCCTCCAGCAGGAAGCCTCTGGACCTAGTTCACCCCATCACAGGCAGGTAGTCGATACTAAACTCTTGAGTCCCTGGGCACGGCAGTGCAATCATCAGTCTTTAGCCTACCCTCCTAATAAGGCAAACAGCAAACATAGTCCAGGCGCTTGCAGCCTTCTGGCTGGAGCAAGTCACAAACAAAGCACAGGCCTAAAATGAGTAGGCTACCACCCTAGGATTGGTTGCAGAGACTGCTCCACCAGGTCCCAGCCCTGGGCCCTAACAGTGAGAATCCTACTGAAATATGCTGACTCTTACTGCAACAGGACAAACTGAATAATGTCTAGTTCCCATGGACTACTTCCTACCACAATCCATTGCTATGGCTCTGTAGTCTGCCAGTCCTCAGAGTCCTCGGGTAAGTAGTGGACAGTAATCCCAGAAGCTTGTCCCCATTCTCAGTTTTCTCTGTGGGCATGATGCCACACAGTTTGGAGTTTCTTCTGTCATCCTGTAGGGACTTTTGCCTCCTTTCCTGGCTCTGGTGCAACTTAGATGAAGGCCTGCCTTTTATAGAATCATAATATACCAGAACTGGAAGGGATCTCAGGCAGGACCGAATACCAGCTATTCTAGATCATCCCTGACAAGTATTTGCCTAACCTGCTCTTAAAATCTCCAGTGATGGAAATTCCACAATCTTCCTAGGCAATTTATTCCAGTGCTTAACCACCCTGACAGTTAGGAAACTTTTTCCCCTAATGTCCAACTTAAATCTCTCTTGCTGCAAATTAAGCCCATTGCTCCTTGTTCCCATCATCAGAGATCAAGGAACATACTTTTTCTCCCTTCTCCTTGTAACATCTTTTTAGGTGCTTGAAAGTGATTATCATATTACCTCTCAGTCTCTTTTCCACACTAAACAAACCCAATTCTTTAAATCTTCCTTCCTGTCCCTCCCCTCTGCTTCTGGTGCACAGGGTGGGGCTGACTTGGCTCCATCCACTAGGGAGAGTGCAGCAGTGCCGCCATCTCAGGCTTGGAGGGAGGCCACTGCCTCACCATATCAACCTCCACGGAGTTTGGACGGAGCAGAAGTCTAAATGGGCACTTGGTGAGGAGGGAGAGGAACTAGGGAAGAGTTTATGACTGTTGTAGAAGGATATCTTGGACTACTTCTGTGTGTCAGGTGAAATCAACATTTACAGACAACTAACGATTTCAGTCAAATCCTGCCAGTCTCATCTCTAATACCTACATGGGGAACAAATATTTATTAATGGCTTCTTCAATCTAGCAGAGAAAGGTGTAACACGATCAAGTGGCTGGAATTTGAAGCTAGACTAATTCATACTAAAAATAGGGCATAACTGAACAGTGAGAATAATTAAAACTGGAACAATTTACTAAGCATCACGGTGGGTTCTCCATCACTGAGAACTGTTAAATCAATGTGGGAGTTTTTCTAAAAGATTTGTTACAGTAATTATTATGTGGCCTATGTTGTTGAAGAGTTTAGACTAGATATCCACAATGGTCCCTTCAGGTTTTAGGATCTGTTAATCTAAACTATATGCCATAATAGTGCAAACATGAGTTATTGGGTTTGATATATTTACTTGAGTAACAGGAAGAAATGTTCCTTACACTGAAGGCATTATTGGTTGGAATTCTCTGGCCTATGTCATGCAGAAAATCAGATTTGATAGAAAGCATAATGGTCTCTTCAGGCTTTAAAAATCTATTAGTATATTAATTTTCTTGTTTATAGAATAAACTAGGGGGCTGTGCTTGCTGCTTGATTTGCTTGCCAACCCCCCCTTCTCTGCCCGCTTTTGCTTTTGTGGCCAGGGAGCCTGATAATGTCATTCTGTTGTGCAGCAGGAAAAACTTTTACATAGATATAGATGTAGCAATTCAGCTAGGTTAGGTGAAAAATAAGGCACCTAGTGAGGCAGAATGGAAAAATGTGTGATGTTCACTTTCATATAATCTGGATATTTTTGTCATTTCGTAACACTTGTTCTTCTCTATGCTGCCCAGGAGGGCACCGCTTCTTTTTCTAACATTTTTACAGTCTTTTTTTCCTAACTGAAGTTACTTTGAAAAACAAATTGGTAGTGAACAGTTTTTGGAGATAATAATATACATCAAGAGCTTCAGAGAATTTGAAAAATTATTTTAGTATTTTTTACAGTTTTGGGGTACATGTGCCTAGTTCTCTGAAATGTTCAGTGATGCCATCAGCCTGACTCGGGGTTGCTTTACTCTGAATTGACAAAAATGTCCCTAGTCTTCTCTAACCCAAATTTCATTTTTGATCTGTAATTCTCTTTTCCCCCTAGAAGTTGGTAAAGAATAAAAACCATTCATGATTACAGAATGACTACCTGATCTAAATAGTCCAATGAGGAAACGATTTTTATTGTAATAAAAGTGGTTGTTATTAATTTGAATTAGGGATGTAAAATTCCATTTAATTAGTTAATCGGTTAAACATATTGTTTAACTGGTTAATCAATTAAAGGGGAGGGTGGGTGGGGAAGTTGCTGGAGCAACCCAGCTGGAGCAGACCCAGTCTACGACAGGGCGCGAGCAGCACCCTGCCCGTGGCAGTCTGGGAGCTGCTTCTGCCCCCACTCATTAACCTGAACCAGTAAGCTTCATCCGCTAAGGATGAGGCTTGCCGGTTAACCAGTTAAATATTCAGATCCCTATTTTTAATGCCTCTTTTTAAGAAGCAATGTAACAAGAATAGATAGTTTCAAAACAAGCACCTACAGTTATTTTTAGACATTTTAAATAAAAGTGTCCTGGTTTTGAAAGATACTGAGCAACTTCCATTGTCAAATAAAAATAAAGGTTAGGTTAATTTGTAAATAATCAAGACTGCAGTGCAAATGTATTTTACAGTATTGGGTGAATAAAAATAACTATCTGTTTTTTTTCCAGACCAGACCTAGTTCTGTGAGGAAATGGATACCTCTTCCAAACAATGTCCAGTCAAAAAACGAGTGAAAATCCATCCCAACACAGTGACAGTGAAATATACATCCCATTATCCCCAACCTGGAGAAGAGGTTTCTGATGAAACCAGTGATGATATTGGAAGCTTTGTGGAAGACAATCCAAAGAAAAGATTGCTGAGTGACAGAAAAAGGAAAGGAAGAGCCTTCTTTGGAACTATGGATATGCAACCTCAGCCAGCCCAAGAAATGGAAGACAATGAGACTGGTCAACACCATAATTTTACAGATGGAAGCATATTTCAGTCCAGAAAGACTTGGGTAGTACTTTTTGCCTCTGCCTTGGCTCATGGCTGTGTGGCTCTGATAACTAGACTTGTTTCTGATCGATCCAAAGTGCCATCTCTAGAACTAATTTTTGTTCGTTCAGTCATACAAGTGTTGTCTGTCATTGTTGTGTGTTACTACCATGAGGACCCCTTCGGACCAAAAGGACACAGATTGCAACTCTTCTTTTATGGTGTTTGCAATGTTATCTCCATTACCTGTGCTTACACTTCCTTCACTATAGTACCCCCAAGCAATGGAACCATTATGTGGAGAGCCACCACCACTGTCTTTAGTGCCATTTTGGCTTTTTTACTAATAGATGAACGAATGGCTTATATAGACATAATGACAGTGGTTAGCAGTATCTTTGGTGTTTGCCTGGTCATGTTCCCCAACATTGTTAATGAAGAAAACTCTTTGCTCAGTGTCTGGAAAGAAGCCTTTGGCTACACCATGACAGTTATGGCAGGCTTGACCACAGCTCTTTCCATGATTGTCTACAAGTCAATCAAAGATCATGTCAGTATGTGGACTGCATTATTTACTTTTGGTTGGACTGGAACTGTGTGGGGAGCCTCCACCATGTTTTTTCTTCAAGAGCCAATTATACCACTGGATGGAGAAACCTGGAGCTATCTCATTGCTATCTGTATATGTTCTACTGTGGCTTTCTTGGGGGTCTATTATGCCTTGAATAAATTTCACCCAGCTCTGGTCAGCACAGTGCAACACTTAGAGATTGTGACAGCCATGATTCTGCAGCTTGCGGTGCTCCGCATCTTTCCCAGCATTTATGACCTCATTGGGGGGGCCATCATTATGATTAGTGTCGTTTTCCTTGCATGTTATAAGGTGTCCTGGAAGAATTTAGGAAGGCAAGATTATCAGGAGATAGTGGATTCTTCCATTAAATGAATGTCAGTTTGTTGTAGTCTTTTCTGTAATCGTTTCTGGGCTGCCGTGTGAAATTAATGTTCATTTGCCAATGTCCTTTGTGTAGTAGAGTGGACAGAGTCCTAATTTTCTTGTTCAGAAATAATAGGCTAGACTATACCTGATAACATGATTTTGGAATCAGTGGAATTGCACCAGAGATGAACTTGTCTAAATGTGTAAAATAATTTTAAATGTTTCAGTGTGCGAACTTAGATTTATTCTCAGCTGGGGTAGGCAGTAGCTGCTAAAATTACATGTAGAAAATTCTGTCCTAGGAGTGTTTCTATCATAGTCCTCCTTGTAGAATATCATATTGAAACTATTGTTAGTCATCCCGGGCATTGCAGCTGTAAACTAATTTTATGGTAACAAGAAAGTCATATGTTGACATTTACCATTGAAGGAGAAAATGTATGTTCCATGGTAACATTATATGTTACTTCTTAACATGTATATGGTTATAATTCTTTAAATAGCTACTCGGAGAGGAGTAAATAAATAAAGTGATGTTCTCTGTGCTCTAATAGTAAAGGTTCTGTCAGAATCCCCATAATAACCCTTGACTTGGTCCAAAACCTCCCTGTTAGCTAAAAGCTGGAACAAATGAAATTAGAAAAAGATATTCACAGGGAAAAATGAAAGGAAAGATGAGGTTATTTTGTAATTGTCTGAGTGAAATGCACTTAAAAGCTGGTTTCAGATGTGTTTAACTCACAAGTGTTTCTAACCATTCATATTATTGCCTCATTTTCATAAGCAGTTAAGCCCACCTAGCTATCTGTCCCCTCATTAGCTCATGTTTGATCCTTGATTCTTCAGTTTCTCCTTTCTTGTGTGCCCACTGAAGCCTAAGCAATATGCCCCTCTCAAAAAGTACACCTCTGTCCATGCCTCCTAACCAAGTCTGGAGCACAAGCCCTACTCTTAGGTATAGCTTTGCCCCCTGGGTCTCTACAGATTGAAGAAATTCACTCACATTTAAGTTGCATAAAATGAAACCCTCACACTGTCTGACAGTTTCTGGAGAAAAAGATGTCTTTAAAATAGAGAGCAAGAGAATTACATTAAATTAAAAGCAGCAGTTTGCATCACATGTATCATCTGGCTAATTTCCCAAACCCAGAGAGGCAGGCTCTGGTTGCTTAGCTGCAGAAAAAAAAAGAAGCTCTCATATATATAAAGAGGAAATCCAGTCTCTGACCTCTGTGGCCAGAAACACATCTTGCTGTGGTGTCCAGAGAGTTCTTGCCTATCCCTTTGCCTAGGGTACGGTGATTAGGTACCTTCCCTGCTTCAATCCAAGGCAGCTCTCCTTGTTTTACAAATCAATTTTCTCAAGATGCAGCCCCACACAGTAAGCCTGGTGAACAAATGAATGATGCATCCTGCCAGAGATGGCCAACAGAAGAGATATATTTAAACCATGAGCAATGCAGCCTCTCTCATGTCAAATTCAAGTTAAGACTTCCACAGATCACTGAATCCAATCTAGCCAAGCTTTTCAAAACCTTTTATCTAGTTTTTTTCCTTGTCATGAAATAAATCATTGGCAGACCCTAGGTCACGCTCTTAAGGCCAAAGTTGGTATGGCTTTTTAAATGTGTGTATGTAAATAAATGTTTACATGCCAAAATGTTATCCAATATGAAAAATTGGCCAATAATGATTCTTGAGCTTTTTCCCAAAGTGCGCTAAAATGGAAAGTTAAAGTGAATGGCTCCATAACCCATTTTCAATCTGCTGAGCAGCAATCCAGGAATTTAAGAGTTCTGCTCTTATTAAAGCTAATAACAAAGTTTACATTGGCTTTACTTGCTCTAAGATCATATCTTAAGTGGATGGGCTTATGGATCTAGATCTTCAGTTAGTGCTAATAGAATGGAATCTAATTAATTACATTAATTTACCCCAGTTGATGATATTGGTCACAGCACCTGCGCAGCGTTGGCTAACATCCAACTGACCAATGGTGTTAGATCAGCGGTTCTCAAACTTTAGCAGCCCGAGAACTACTATTTTGATTTAATTTTTTTCACTGGGCCCTCACTCAGCCCCTTCTCTTGGGCCCCACTCCTGCTTGCTCCATCCCCCCCTCTTTCTGTTGCTAGCTCACCCCCAACCCTCACTCACTCTCACCAGGCTGGGGTAGGGAAGCTGGGATGCAGGGGGGGGGGGAGTGAGGGCTCTCACTAGGGGTCTAGGCTTTTGAGTGCAGTGGGGGATGAGGGCTTTGGGGTACAGGAGAGGCTCAGTGTTGAGGCAGAGTGATCAGATGGTTGGGTGCGAGCTACAAAAGGGAGTTTAGCTGTAGGAGAGGACAGTTGGGATGGAGGGAGTTCAGAGTGTGGGACACCAGCAGCGCTTACTGCAGTTCCCAGGAAGCTGCCACCAGGTTTCTACAGACCCTGTAGTACACGGGCAGCCAGCAGGCTCTATGTGTTCTCCTTGTGCCTGCAGGTGACATCCCTGCAGCTCCTAATGGTTGCAGTTCCCGGCCAATGGGAGCTGCAAAGCCAGCACTTGGGCAGAGGCCGAGCACATGCACTGAGGGCAACAGGAGTCTAGATGGCAGCTGCTCAGAAGAAAGGCAGTTAGGGAATTGGCCTTAGTCCTGGGCTCCCGCTGTTCCCCCACATGCAGGACGCAGTTTGAAGGAGGAAAAGTTGATCAATGGAGTCCCTGGACCCCTGGAGTACCTCTCACAGACCCCCAGGAGTCCATGGACCCCAGTCTGAGAAATGCTGGTGTAGGTCAAAGAAGATTGTGTTCTCATATTTGTGCCTGTTCTTATCAGTAAAGAGTTTGTGTAAGCTTTATGACCTGGGAGGCTGAATGGAACAGCATTCAATAGCCTCTCAATGACAAATTACAAAGGAAGTCTTGACCCTTCCTACTTGCCTGAAAAGTGCCTGTAATATAGGATTTCAGAGGAGAAGTTGGAGAAGACGAGGATGTAAGGGAATGAGGGAGTGAATGGACTCCCTGGTGAAAATAGACAGAGAACTTTGCTGCTCACCAGCAGAGACAGGGGTTTTTTTTAACAGAAAAAATTATAGTCACTTTTTTAAGTGAGTTAATTTAAATGGCTTCATGTAATCCTAGTCTTGGCAGGTGATAGACTATGCAGACCATGGTCCCAGTTTGGCAGAGAAACAGTTAACTGCTTTTTCAGAGTAGGACCAGAGCTGTCTGCTTTCAGTTGTCACTCAGGAGAGAGTGAAGACAGCTGTGCAGAAGGGAAGGGTCTGTCTCCTCTCTCTCTATATGAGAGGTTAGTTCGGTTTTTTTAAATGTGTAGGGAGTTGTAAGACTGAATTAGCACAGAGGGTTGTTTTTCTGTACTGTTGGGCGCTGTTTGAGGTTCTTATGTGGTTGGGAAACATCCTTGAAAATTAAACCTCTGTTTGTGCTGTGGCTTTGCATGGCATAATAAATCATGCCCTTTGGGAATGTGGTGGGGAAACATACTTAAATTAAATGACAAAATTCATACTGAAGACTGTGTATTTTTTTCCTGTGTAGAATCTGCTAACTTTGGGCCAACTGTCTTGTCAGTGTAATTAAGATGAATGATCAGTGAGCGTGCTCATCACTTGCTCTGATGTATCTTTCCTTAAGTTACAATGTTATCACTGAAAGCTTTCCCAGGCTCTGCACTCAGGATAATGGAAATATTATACCTTGTTGTGTGCTGGAGGAAACCATGCTCTTTTGGAATCATTTCCAGCAAACAAAATGGTTGGTGGGAAAGAATGCAATAAAGTGGCCTGCGGGAAGGGTACATTGATAGAATGGAAGTGCAGGTAAATTCTGGCACAGCAATGCAGTAACACAAATGGGCAGTCAGGACCTGAGTAAGTCTCTGTGTTGCGGAGCTTTCTCCTCAGTCACAGGAATTGCTGTCTCCCATCCTCAGTTCTCACTGGAACTGCAGAAAGGGGAAAAACAGTAAGGCTATGTCTACATAGTTTCCCTCTTCCGCAAAAGCCTATGTAAATGAAGCACAGATTAGCATATTGCTATGTTATCATTTGCATAATTAGTTAGGAGCCATTTTTGCGCAAGAGGCTTTTTGCGAAAAAAAATCCCCTCTTGCGCAAAATCCGTTCTTCCTGAAAAAATGTGCTGTGTAGACAGTGCCTTTCTGTGCAAAAAACAGATCCTAATTCATTATGCAAATGAAGCATGTCAATATGCTAATCCTCGCTTCATTTGCATAGGCTTTTGCGGAAGAGGGAAGCTGTGTAGATGTAGCCTAAGAGAGCTCAAACTCCTCTCCCCAGGGATCTCCAGTTCCCTTTTAGCAATACAGAGTAGCCCTGATTTTCTAGCATCATTTGATGCACCTCTTCCCCCACCCCCAAACATCACAGAATCACTTGACATTAACTCTCATTATAAAGTGACCTTACTTCCCTTAAATCAAACTTCCTGCCATTCCAGCCTTAGGACAAGATGACTCCCTCACTCATAAATGAACTGTAATTGTAGATAGGTGAACAGATATCTGGGGTTGGTAAATTACACGCTGACTACTGCTAATAACAAACTGCTGCAAATAAGTAATAGAGATGTAGCCCTGTTAGTCTAGTCTAGCTGAAACAAAAAACAGAACTATGTAGCACTTTAAAGACTAACAAGATGGTTTATTAGGTAATGAGCTTTCATGGGCCAGACCCACTTCCTCAGATCAAATTGTGGAAGAAAATAGGCATGACCATATATACCAAAGGGATATGGTAAAAAAAAGTGAACACATATAAAAAGGACAAATCAAATTTCAGAACAGAGGAGGAATGAGGGGGATTTCTTTCGCTGCCTCCGCCTACGAGAATATTTCCAAACTACCAATGAACATCACTCTGACCAACCAGATCCCCCCTATCAACACCAAAGGAAAAATAATTCTATATGGACTCCCCCTGACGATCAGAATTACAATCTGGATTTCTATATACAAAGCTTCCGCAACAATGCACAGACTGACATTATTCACAAATGACAACAAGCGACACACAATCTCAGCTGCGCTGAACACTATGCTATCCAGAGTCTCAAAAACAACCCGGACATTATAATCAAACCAGCTGACAAAGGGGGTGCTGTGGTCATTATGAATAAGTCCGACTATAACCAGGAGGCAACCAGACAACTCTTCAACACCACATTTTACAAACCTCTCTCCTCTGATCCCACCTCAGAATACCAAAAGAAACTACACTGTGTCCTTAGAGACCTCCCTACATCTACTTGGGACCAAATCCACATAGAAATACCTTCTGAACCCCAACCAGGATTGTTCTATCTGCTTCCCAAAATCCATAAATCGGGACACCCCGGACGTCCCATCATCTCAGGTATCGGCACGCTCACTACTGGATTATCCAGCTATGTAGACTCTCTTCTCAAACCCTACGCAATCAACACTCCCAGCTTTGGACAAAAATACATTAATTTTGCATTCTGGTTTTCACCCCCAGTAATAGTGCAGCAATGTCTTAGATTGCAAAAATGAACAATTAGAAACACTATCCCAGAGAACAGTACTACCAATCTGATAGCAGACCTATGTAACTTTGTTCTCACCCACAATTATTTCCAGTTTGAGAACTTATACCTCCAGATCAGTGGCACAGCCATGGGTACCCGCATGGCCCCACAGTATGCTAACATCTTTATTGCTGATTTAGAACAACGTTTCCTCAGATCCTGTCCTCTTTTACCCCTTCTCTACTTACGCTACATTGATTACATCTTTATGATCTGGACCCACGGCCAAGAAACACTGGAGACATTCCACAGAGATTTTAACAACCTACACCCCACCATCAATCTCAGCCTGGACCATTCTACACGAGAGATCCATTTCCTGGATACCACAGTACAAATCACCAATGGTAAATTAGACACCACTCTCTACTGAAAACCCACTGACTCATACAGTTACCTTCATGCCTCCAGCTCCCATCCAGAACACACCATACGATCCATCGTCTATAGCAAAGCCCTTCGATACAACTGCATCTGCTCTAATCCCACTAACAGAGACCAGAAACTTCAGGATCTCTACCAAGCATTTATAAACCTCAATTACTTACCTGGAGAAATAAAAAAGCAAATTGAAAGAGCCAGACGAATACCCAGAAACCATCTACTTCAAGACAGACCCAAGAAAACCAACAATAGAACACCACTCGTCATCACCTATAGCCCCCAACTTAAACCCGTCCAACACATTATCAATAAACTACAACTTATACGAGAACTGGATACTACACTCCGAGAAGCTCTGGGAGACAGACCCATAGGGTGTGTCTAAACTACATGGCTCCATCGATGGAGCCATGTAGATTAGGCTGATCGGGAAAGGGAAATGAAGCCGTGATTTAAATAATGTATGGGTCTGATCAGCTGTTTGTTGGCTCAGTGCGCTAGTCTGGATGCTCCCACGCCGACTTGAAAGCCCTTTATCTACCTCCTCATTATGCCTCATAGGATGAGGTTTACCGGGGAGGTCGATAAAGGGCTTTCATGTCGACAGGGGAGCGTCCAGACTGCCCTGATCTGCCGATAAACAGCTGATCGGCAGAGCACGGCTTCATTTCCCTGTGCCGAACAAAGAAATCTACATGGCTCCATCGACGAAGCCATGTAGTTTAGACGTACCCTTAATGTATAGTTAAATGCAGGTAACTCAAAGGTAGAATGCTTACCAGTAAACTTCTCCAGACAGAAGATGGGAGACACTTAAATCCCAGGAGGACCATTCTGTATTTATGTTAGACAATGAGTCTATGTCTACACTACAAGGTTTTTGTGCAAAAACCGGCAGAGTGGCCACACCTCAAGTGCGTTTTTGTGCTAAAAAAATATAGTAAATTGACAGGACAGAGGACCTTTGCTAGTAGAGTTATTCTTCTCCCCATGAGCAACCACAGGACATACCACACTAATACCAACCCTGGAACTTTTCCTTTCAACAAACGCCGTTGCCAGCTTTGTCCACATATTTACTCTGCTGCCACCATTATTGGTCCTAACCAATTCAGTTATAAGATCAAGAACACATATTCCTGCTCATCCAGAAATATAATTTATGTCATCATACATTGGACAAACGTCTCAGACACTTTGCCAAAG